CATCAGCCTGGAAGAAAATCTTGATAGGTGGTGTGTGCTTGGCTTTCTATTGGTTCTGTTGACAAGTGGATGGAGTCATGTAGGTGCGGTTTCCTATTTAGCTGATACGGACATGAGCTGGCCGCTGTTCTAAACGGGCGCGACTCTGTCCCTTTACGGCTTTGTTTGATTATCCATTATTCATTTGGCTTAAACAGGATCACTGATTTGTGCATACGCTGTGCACCAGATTCACAGTAAAGCCATTTACTGTGGTGACATTTTGACTCAGCACAGGCAAAGTAACAGGACCAGTCTACCTTTCTCTCAATCTGATTTAGACCTGAGGTGGAGTCTATAATACAAGAGTGTCAGAAAGAAGAAGAAAACTGGTATGGGAGCATATTTTTCGGTGCCATGGGAGTGATGAATCAAGGTTTTCCTTTTGCGATGTATCAAAATTTGTCACTTTTGGCAGCGATCTGAAGTGGCCTGCCATGACTGATGCCAAAGAGATATCTAATATCACCTGCCGTAGTCAGCTAGCAGCTACAGTATGAATCCTGTGGGGATTTAATTTAAAATATAGCCTGTTCCTTAGACTAATATGTGCGGAAACGCTGGCCAGCCTGTTTTTTTTTTTTCTACTATAATGTTTAAACATTAAATCAGTGTTGCCTGGAAAATCTTTTTTCTCAAACTTGTCATTTAAGAGCAGATCTGCAGCCGTCAATCGTGGAGCAATTCAGCAGTGACAGATGTATTCAAACACCCAAACTGAAGGAGAGAGGAGGGGGCTCAGGTGTAGCAGTTGTCACAGTCGAAGCACTTGTCACAGTAAATCTAAGGTATTAGTGGATGTAATATAAATAAATTTGAAACCACCCTCACTGGGATTTGCCTTAAATAAAGCCAGTGGGGCTTCCTCGACTATATGGAATCCTTGAACACAGTAATTATAGCACAAAGAACAAGTTGCAGTGTAAGTATTGATCGATAATAGGAACAATATACAATGATTCAGCATTTATCTAATGTAAAATTAAGTATATTATTCCAAAAGAAAACCTTCAAATAAGAAACAAAGAAGGATTTCACTCCCTGAGCACGCTTGTTAATTTTATTTAAAATGTGCAGTTTTAAAAGATAATCCGCACATGAATAAAGATTTTTCACTTGAGCTAAATACCACTTTTAACAAAGGTGTTTTTATTCCAATTATCCTCAGGGGTACTTGCCATTTACAAGTACAGTATATCTCATCTCAACACCATTATTATGCACGGGCCCAGTGTATAAAACCTTCACCATCAGAATAATGGATCTCAAAGGAGGCCATTGCCAACTCACAGGTCAGTATGATATGTCGTTAAATTGACGCTCATTTAGCTTTTGTATGATTATTAAGATGCGCGGCCCTAACAGCAAAATGACCGAATGTCATTTTAACAACTAATCATTAGAGCTTGTCATCTGGCAGCGGGTCCTACTGCAAGGATTGTTACCATGACAATTCAAGTTTTATATTTGCATTTAAAATTTAAATGAAACAGCCCTTCAAATATTATAACGTACTATTAAAATTCTCATTTAGCTAAAGGGTTTAACTATGCAAGCAACAAAAATATATTTAAAAAAAGTCTCTTATAGGGGCACTCCAATAATCTTTATTAAACAGCATCATGGGAATTTGGAATTTTGCAGTTCAATCATTCAGTCATTATTTTGTGCAGTTTGAGTGCATCCATATTACAATGTCGTTAACACAAAGTGATAATGTCAGCACTCTCTCTTCAACCCTATTGTGGCAGTAATAGATTGGCTATAATTTCTCAAACAGTATTCCTCAATCTTGCTACTTTACCACATGGTCGACTGCAGCGGTGTCAGCTTCCACAAAGCGTAGCAGCTGCACAGGGTTGGCATTCAACCCTTGAACTGCAGCAGCTCTGTAGCTCTCTGGTGAGCTTATACTGAATTGATATGACACCTATTATGGAACCCCTTGATCACATTCAGCGGGCCAGTTACCTGTTGCAACCAGCTGAACACAAATTTGACTATATTTCAAACTGTAAAGTCAACAGTAACTGTACAGTTAGTGTCACCACCATCACCCACCACCACATACGAACGTAAGCAAATGAAAGACATCACCATTTAGGTAAAATGGAAGAAAAAGCCACAACGCCCTAGTGACAGAAATTAAGATTGCAGCAAAATGAAAACTAGGCAAGGTAGGATATAGCATGTGTTTATCCATTATCACATTAATATCACTGCAACAGTTTCTCAGTTGCTCTTGTTGTAATGTCATGCGTTTTCGCTAGGATGAGAATCTGTATCATGCACAAATATACAAAAACCTTTTTCTGAAGTCAGCAGCTAAACAGTTACAAGCTAATGTAACAGCAAACAAACAGAAATCCCTATATCAAGATAATACAGCATAAAACCACCTGTGCCCTGTATGCAGCTCGCAGGTAATTGTCAGTTTACAGTGGTTACACTTATCTTCATTTATGTATAAATTTGTCATAAAATATGGTCAGATCTCCATCTGAGATACAATAATGAACAAACACAATCTATTTAAACTTATAACACATAAGTCATTGTGTTGTTCTTGTTCATACTGAACACACCATTTAAACATTCACAGTGGAGGTTGGGGAAAAAAAAAAATCAGTGTACCCCTGAAGCTAATGCCATAAACAAAAGCTAACTGGAGTCAGGAGTTATCAAACCTGGAGTCCAATCAATAAACTGGATTGTGGAGGTGTCGGTTAGAGCTGAATGTATTTTCAAAAAAAAAAGAAAAACACTTTTGAGTTCAGAAGAAACATCTGCTGGTGTGAAGCATGCCTCACAAAAGAGAGATCTCAGAAGACTTGGGATCAAGAATTGTTGATTTGCATAAAGCTGGAAAGAGTTTCAAAGTGATTTTAAACAGTTCAAATATTCATCAGTCCACAGTTAGACAAACTCTCTACAAATGGAAACGATTTAGTTCAGCGGCTACTCTCCCTAGAAGTGGGCGCCCAGCTAAGATGACTTCAAAGGCCTGACGCAGAATGATCAGTGAGGTGAAAAAATAAAGCCCAGAGTAACAGCTAAAGGCTTAAAGGACTCATCGGAGCTGGATAACATCTCTGTTCGTGAATCTACCCCTTTGCAAATCATGGAACATGGTCGCATGGAGCACTGTGTATATGACGGGGCATGATGGAGGAAGTCGCTTCTCTCCAAAAGAGAACATTGCATGTCAAAGAGCACCCTGACACGCCACAATGATGTGGGGCTTTGCCACCTCGAGACTGGAACAGCTCGACATCATGGATGGGGAAATTAATTCACAGGTTTATGTATCTTCCACGATGATGGCGGGCTGGCTGTCCACCTGCTGAAACTCGGGGGAAGCTGGGTGTTGCAGCAGAACAATGACCCGAAACATCAAAGTAAGTCTACTACAGAATGATTTCAAACAAAGAAAATTCACCTGTTGCAGTGGCCCAGTCAGAGTCCAGACCTTAATCCAGTAGAGATGCTGTGGTACGACCTGAAGAGAAACTTCCACTGCAGATGTCCTGAGAATATGTCTGAGTTGAAGCAGTTTTATGAAGACAAATGGTCCATAATTCCTCCTGAACATTGTGCAGCTCTCATCCGCAGTTTTTGGAAGAGCCTGTTGGAGGTTATTGCTGCCAAAGGAGGTTCGGCCAGTTATTAACTCCAAGAGTTCACTTGCTTTTTCTACCAGCACTGTGAATGTTTAATGGGTGTGTTTAATAAAGACGTGAAATATTATAATTGTTTTTTTGTGATATTAGCTTAGGGAGAAGGAGTTTGTTTACCCTTGTGATTTAGATGAAGATTAGATCACATTTAATGACCAATTAATGTAGAAAACCAGGTCATTCCAAAGGGTTCACATACTTTTTCTTGCCAATGTAAAACGTAAATGACTGTAGTTTGTCGTAGGCAATGCTGACCAAGTGTTAATAAATCCTAAATCTGACTTTCTCTAAAAATGGTTGGATGAGACCACTTAGCGTCTTATGAGCGTCCCAAAGAAACAAGATGTGAAGGTTCCAACGTAAAAGACATCTATGACACACTCCTTACCAGAGTGACTCCTACCACCATGAAACGAAAAAAACGTAAACCATACAGGAAAAACCACCAACTGAAGCGTTGAGTGTTACAAGTAAGAAGAAAAGAGTAAGATCAGCAGAGGGTCAACAGGCCACAAACGGAAAGTGTCAAACGCCAGAGAAAGACAAGAATAACTGTTGGTTGTCACCCCTGCTGAGGGAAAATCATTCCCTTACCTGTCCCTGTTTCTTGTCCCTCAGTCAGTGTAAAGACATTTTAGCACACAACTGCTGTGGGTTCAGATGTTTCTGGTCACAGTAATCAGATTAGCCTTATGCTGACTTGACATAAGTGGACAGCATGATTGCTGGTTTGTATTGAGATGATGTATGAGATGACTGGGAACCCAACAGAATTCAATACAGCACGGTCCAGTAATTACCACTTGTGGCTGCAGAGGCCAGTGCTCAGCATAAGTTACATAGTACAGTTACATAAGTTTTTTTTTTTTTTTTTATGTTAAAACTCCCCAACTATGTCAACACTAAGCTACCTTTGAACTTACACAAAGCTGGTGCAGCAGCCTGCAGGACAGCTATAACAGAGCCGTGACGCTCAGTAATCATGAGCATGACATTTCTGTGGTGCTTGAAATTTGTAAAAAATTACAACTGCAAGTCAAGTTTTATATTTTTATATATTGTTTTTGTCTTTGCATTTACAAATAGAGTTGAGCTGTAATTGCATCATTTTCAGTTGCACCACTTTTCTTTTCTTTTTTTTTTTTTTGTTTTACTTCTCTGATTTCCATTCTGCCTTTTCCTTTCACTCTATACTGCAATGACCCAGTTCGCCTCTGGGATGATTAAAGATTCATAACGTCTTATTAGAAGTGATATTTGGTGGCCATATGCCTGGCTACTTACTGCCGATGTGGAGGAAGATGGTGTCACGCCTCTCTCCGTGCGGGTTCTGAAAGCAGCTGTAGAGTCCGTTGTGGCCCAGGTTCACTTCGGTCAGGATCAGTCTGGGACCTTCTAGACGGTGCTGGGCCCTCACGTCCGTCCCGTTCACCTTCCATGACACCGATGCGTCATTGTCTAGGGAGCCGCACTGCATGGTAACATCGCTGCCCATTCGCTCATACTGGTTCCTAGCAACTGGAAGGAGACAGAGGCAAAGACTAAGTGTTAGTGATATCAGCAACTACTAACAAGTGAAATACCTGGCTTGTAGCTACTGGAGGAAGAAAATAAAAGCCTTTATAAGTATATAAGCATATGCAACAAGCATATATATTGTGTGTGGGGACATTCCTGCTAAATCTGTCACACTTGTTCCTAGCAACAAGAAACAGCCAGAAGCAAAGGGAGATTTCTGGCCGATATAATAAAATGAATATTCAGATTTGGAAACATTATTAATTGCATTATTTATTACTGCCTAGCTATAGATATGGCTTAGCCACTGATTTGTATCTGCAGCAACAGACCAATGGGAGAAATATTTTTACAATGTTTGTACAGTATCTAATACAGTTGATGTAATTTTTCTCTTTAGATATTGTAAATCCTTTGTAGCGAGGGAAGGATGGGAAAACAAAGTCGCGTTTTGTTCCACACAAAGAGCCAGATCTTGCTTCACCCGAGACCTAGGGGAAAGAGGCACTGGAGGAAAAAATGTTCTTTTCACTGTGGAGAGTTTTGCAAAAGTTTCTTCAGACTTGTGTTTTCTGTGTTGCCTTTATCCTAGTGTCAACTACCTCACTGCCTTTTGTCCATAGGTTTAGGAAAGTTGTGGGGGCCGTGACCCCGAGGGTTAAGGGATATACGCAAGCCTTATGGGAGTTTTAGCCGGGACACCAGGGTTAGCAGCCTTGCTCTGTTGATAAGTCCCATGGGACCTGTCATGACCACACTGAGTGAAGACCTCAGATTAACACTTAAACACAGTGGATCAACAGCACAACAAGACACAACAATAAAATATTGATCCCCATCTTAGGAAAAGCCCTCGTCTATGAAGAAAGGAAGGAGAAAAAATGTCTCCACTGACCTAGGATCAAATGTTGTCAAGATCCCTGTCTTGCTCTGATGTCTCCCTCCCTGTCTTTCTCTTTGTCTGCGTGTCCCCTCCCCTCCTTTCTCTCTCACCACAATGCCTCTCATTTAGCCGTTTTTCACTTGAGCTAGCTTCCTTCACCCGATCTCCTCACACGTGCCTCTTAACGCAGCCGATACAGATGTCAACCTAGTGTTTCATGTATATTTCATGTCCCATAACAGAGCCATCTATATTTAATGGGACAAGATGCCTGTCCCCATTAACATTAACCTGACACTGTTTGTTCTCTCTGTGTTCCTCTCTGTCTGTCTTTCACTCCCCCTTCAACCTCCCCCAGCCCTTTGCTCTCCGCATGTCTCATACATGCCATCTCTCTCTCTTTCTCTGTAATCACTCGGTCGTCCTCTCCCCTCTGTCCACCCCCATCATCTCCATGTTACTGCTACTCCCAGTTTTCCTGAGTCCAAGTAAATGCGCTTCCGTTTGCATGTCAGTGGCAAGAAATGCCATTTTTTTCCTTTGATCTCTTCCCCTGTCAAGTTACTTTGAGCAGATGTGTGATGTTATTTACATAAAAAAAAAAAAACGCCCTTGTGCTTTGTATGGCAAATGCAGAATGAGCGGAGAAGAGCAGATACAGATACTTTCCTGCTGTTGTAAGTCGGTGAACACGGATGCCATTAACGACCAGTGCATAATGCTTCGGGACATGCTGTATCATTTGAAACTTTAATAACTTAGAAAAAACCCTGCCTATCCCTTCCACTGCCTTTAGGTGGCATTAAGCTGTTATCAAAGTAGGAGAGTGAAATCATAATCCTCTTCCGACTGATGTCATCAGAAAAGGGTAGGTACAAGTAAAAAAAAAAAAAAAAAAAATGAGGAGGAGCACACCCCATAAAATATTTTGCTGATATGACCTTTTTGCAGCTTTTTTTTTTTTGCGAATGTCCTTGAGAGTCTCCACACAGCGCTGATTCCTTGACCTCCCCTCTTGCCCTCCCCCCCTCCTCCTCCTTTGCTGCCACATTCCGTCCTTCTTATCTTCTCAGGTTACATCGCTCTTTTCTCTACCTCTGTCCTCTCCAATATCCATTCATCTCCACAGCCTCTGCTTCTCCTCCATCTCTCTCCGCTCCACTCCTGTCCCTTCTCTCAAAACAAACTTCTCGCTCTCCTCCTCCTCCTCACTCTCTGACAGTCAGTCTCTATACCTCTCGTCCTCCACCCCTGTCTCCTCGCTTCCCTCCCTGCCATCTGCCTCTATCCACATCCTGCTTTGAACTTTATATTCTCACGCTCTCATCTTTCTCATCACCTCTCCCTCATTTACCTCCGCCTGTCTTCAGTGCTGACCTGTTATGGCAATAGTTTTCATTAACTATGTGCAAAATGTTCCACAGTGACATTTACTGCAAATGTGAGCTGAGGCCAACTCTTGTTGATTCTGATGGGTTTAAATTATTCAGACAACCCAGAACATTTCATTTCACCTGCCTTTCTCCTGTACTGGCAAAGTGCAAATAGAGTGTGAGGATGTACCTAATATTAGCAGTTGGACATGTATGTGATGGGTAGTGAGTTCCTGCGTGTCATTGGCTTGCAGGTGTCAACAAAAGAAAAAAAGCACAATGTACTGTATTCAACATATTCTAATGTGATTTACCAAAGCAAGAATTTTGCTGCTTGATGCTTCCCATCATATTCTAATTCGTTTGAGTTAAAATAACTTCAAACAAACCCTGATTATGATTTGAAAACAGCTACATAATAATGCAGCCCCAAGGTGTCCTGATGGAGTGCTTTGTGTTTTATTACTCCCTTAAAAGTTTTTCTATATCTTTGAACAACATGACAGTTCATCTCTCTTTCAATACTCTCCAAACCCCCCCCCCCAAGCCTTGAGCTGAGTCGATGCTATTGAAGATGTGAGCGTAGATTACAAATGCACACTTTCATTTTTAACGCTGCTCCCCTAAAAAACAGATGGGTACTGTAGTTCTTAGCAAACATTACACAAAGAGGAGTAAACAGGAGCATTTGTTTGGGACCATTTCAGTCGTGGACTGATACATATTTGCGAAACATTTAAGGCAAAGAAACTGTGAGAATGTGGGTCTGACTTAGAATAAACTGCAGCGTTTGTGTTCGTGGTAATGGAGGAACATCGCCCAGTTAAAACGATGTAGCTCAGTGATGTATGTTTAATAGTTTTCTTTGCACAACAATATAGGTGTATGGCACAGAGGAATAGGCTTTATCGGGCCAAGGCTGCACAGGAAATTCTTGATGTGATTAATTCATTGTTGGTTTTGGTCTTTTCCGTGTGATCTGTTCACAACAAGAAAAATAAAGAATGTCTTAAAAGCTTTAAAGAATTCTAATGATCTAAATACCAATTTCTGTCACTGTTTTCATTAAGGTTCAGACAGGTCATTTGTGATTCTATGTTCAGGCACGACTACTCTCTGCTGTAGCAATCACTCGCTGTTACCTTTTGTCTTTGCCTTTGTCTGCCCCGCTGTAAGTTATTCTCACTGTCTGTGCTTCCCTTATCTCGTTCTCCACCTCTCTGCTCACCTTCCCCTCTCCACTCTCCATCACTCTCTCTCTCTCTCTCTCTCTCTCCCTCTCACCTCATAGTTGCTCCCTCACAGCCGAACTTCAGCATTGATCTGCAGTGTATCGCTGATCCTGAGTATTCTGCGCACATGCCACACATACATAATACACCTTATAGCAACACAAGCCAAAGGAAAATCATTTTTAAAAAAACACACTTGTGAGTACACTCATGTACTCACTCGCACATATATGCACAGGCTATCACACGTAATGTCCTCATGCCTCATCACCATACAGACACGCAGGCCTAATAACCATAATGACATTCAGCTCAAGTGCTATTGATCCCTTGGTAATAGACAGTCTATTGGATGCAGCATTAGAGCAGTGTTATTCCAAAACCAAATGAGAACTAAAACCATCAATGTCCTTCAAAAAGCTTAAATTTGACTATTTATACTCATTACTCTGCTTATGTATATTGATGCGAGCTGACAGGGCCCTTCAGGAATAAACCTCCTATGAACCAGCAGTTCAAATAATTCAAGTTATTTTCAAATTTAGACAAGTTTTCTGTGCCACAGTAAAGAGGAAGTCAAGTGAGTGATACCGGTGATGGAATAACAATGAAAAACACGAGATAAACAATGACAACAACAAAAAAAATAAACACGTTGCAACTTAATATAATTTTTTATCTGATGTCAATCAAATCTAAGCCACTACGATCAGTGTGAAACATGCTCACAGGGTCCTTGTTTTCTACTACTGGTGCAACATCGAAATGCAAAGGCATGCTACAAACATGTAGAACATGTTTGTTTATTTTAATCACAATGTGTCAGAGTAAACTATTATTTGAATTTGTGCACTTTTCTTTTTTCACATCACTGTCGTTTAATTGTGTTATGTGGTATTTCTTACCTCCCACAACACACATGAACAGTCAATGATAAATATATAAGTGGTACCTCAAAATTAATCATGAGGGGTATCAAATGTACAACTCATGCACTCCTGCAGTCTCAGTAGTGCAAACTCATGCTGCACTTGCTGTTCATACACACAGAAGCTTCATTTAAAATTAAATTTGCAGTGTCAAGAAAATATCAGTTATGTCATGTCTGCAATAGAAGTGGTGAAACAAACAGTTTTGTATTGTTATATATTATGTATAATAATAAGGACCACGAGGGAAAGTTGAGCATGGAGCGCTGAGAGTATCTTAATTCTTATGCAGCCTTGTGATGTTTTCCCAGAGCAGTGCATTACCATAAAGAGCCAACATGATGTTATGTTGTGAGGTCACTGGTGCTAAGACCTGCAGGACAAGCTAAGACAAGCACACATCTCTATCTAGGGGCTATTTAAAGAATGATGAATACACATTCATACGCACATGGACACAAACTCCCCCCGGGAATGAACTGCAAACATAGATTCATGGGCTGTTTACTAAAGTGATGAGCTACACACACACACACACTGCGCATACTGTACATGCCAAAAGTCAAACATCACATTTGTGAAC